GGCATTTTCTGACAGAAAACATACAGATGTCAACTAACCATTGTTTAAAAAGTCGCGAAGAAAGACTGGACGACAGTATCAGAATTGTCAATCCAAGTAAACCGTCTGATCTTCAGTCTTAGTGTTCTGTGATTCAACTTTGTAGATTTTATGCAGAGTTTTCCCCAAATGGCAATTATTAATCGTTAGTAGAAGTACGTATTGATATCTGATACGTATCAGATATGTATAAAAAGTTAGGTACAATTTAACTATATGATTTGTATATCGATAACTCTATCCGTACGTACTGTAATTCAAAGTAAGCTGATCGGCTTAAATTCAATATTTTAATATTGAACTAGTATGTAACCCGTCGCGTTGCTCCGGGGGTATGTAAGTTAATTATAAAGGGTAAATAAAGGGAATTCGGATTGAAAAGTTATTAGGAAGAATATTAGTTTGAAAGGATAAGCAGTAAGTTTAGTCGAAGAGGTTATTGAGTAATTATTGGGTGTTATGTGTCTTTATACAATTGCGTTGTAGTTAGTATAGGGCTAGATGGGTAAAACTTGTATTTTGCGAATTACTGAAAATTATAGAGTAATTTTTGTGTAACTTAATTAAATTAATAATATATAAAAGAAACATAAATTAAATAATAAGTATAAAAGACTAATAAGTAAATAAAAATTTAAATTAAGAGATTTGAGTAATTAATTGGTTTTTATTATTTTTTATATACAGTAGTTATAACGATAACTTAATTTAATTCGAAAAGTAGATTTAAAAAAAGGGAATATGGAGCAGAAGGCAAAAATCGATGGGATCATTTTAATTAAGAATAGTATAATAGGTAAAAACGACCTATAGCATAAATTGGAATTAAAAGTGAAAAGTAAAATTCGAAATAAAATCGAGACGCTTGTTTTAAAAAATACTCAACGGTTTTAAATATAGTATATTAATAGATCAAATAAAGAATGAGAAAAAGTAAATACGAACATTCTTACTAAGTGTATTTGCTGTAAAAGTGTTATTGTAGAACTTCTGGATATACTATATTTTGTGTATAGCCATCTTCTGCGTGTTGTCCAGATAATAACAATTTAAGAGATTGTGGAGATGTAGTCCTAGAGCAAGAAATGTAAAGCTGGCTGTGAGCAAATACCAGGGAGGGTAAATAACTCCTACATGGGATAAAGTTTGGCCTTGGGCTTTATTTATTAACATGGCAAAAGCGGGTTGTATAAGAAATTGTCGACATGTAAAGGCATAAGGTAAATCAGTATTGGAAAGTGTAAGCAAAATTCGAGGAAGAAAAGTAGTACTCTGCAAAATCAAGTCAAAGTTTGAATTTGCAGAGTACTAAAGAAAAGCACAGACTTCTGTGTGTTTTCCGGAGATAACTTGAACTTCGATAACATGTTGGGAAAAAGTGCAGCAAATCAATCGTGTTCCATTACAAAGACCTTCCGATGGATTAATATTATGAAGCAACATAATGGAAGCACCTATTTTAAGAGATAATTTATGGGGAGGTAAGCCACTTTTGTTTAACGAATGTAGATATTCAAGAGGATATAGAGTTTCATAATTATGTCTATTAGATCCTGTAGAATTGTCGATGAGATCTGCGCTTAAATATTCAAATTTTTGACCTGAATATAGATTCATAGTAGTCGAATTAAGTAAAGAAACGTCAGTATTTTTGGGAGCTAAAATTGCACGATCTATAAAATAAGAAGAATTAGTATTAGGAGATGTAAGATCAGGATATACAAAGCTTATTAAGTCTTGTAAGTTCTGTGATTGTAGAACAATTTCATTAGGAAGTTTTATATAATTATTGCGATCAGGAAGATGTTCTGCATGATCTTCTCCAATTTGCAGAAGCCAATTTGAAAAGGTTTGTATTTCATTAGCATCAGTAGGGAGTCCAGAACAGGATAATCATATATTTATTGTCAATTTCATTATTCTAATATGTTATCATAAATAGAAATGTAAAAGACAGAAGGCTACAATGTCTTCTCTACTTTCTTTAGGAACAACAGGTAAAATTTGGCAAAAATCACTTCTGAAAACTATAATTTTGTTATCAAATAGTTGATATTGTAATGTAAGACTAAAGCTTTCATCAAGTCTTTAAGAGTTTGATCTATCACTTCAATGGCATATTGATTCATTATAGGAGTTTTATTTCAGATAATTAGACTTGTTTGTTGTAAATGTAAAGTAAGATCTGATCTGTGTAAAATGTTACAGGTTGAATCTTCATGTAAATCAAATAGAATTTTAAAATGTGAATGAGCAGTACAACCTTTTTCAAATAAAAGGATAACAATTTTTGATGAAACAACTGCAAAAAAAAATGTTCAGTAGATCTAATTTTGTCTAATAGGGCATCATATAGAAACATTTTATCAGATCTGCTAGGGTTATCTACAAAAAATATTGCTGAAGTTTGATTTTAAACTGTTAAAAGTATTGCATTGAATATAGAATGTTGGGCAGAGTTTAAAAGGAGATATATATTTTTAACCCTAGTTTTTAGTAGATCAATATTATAGTTTAGTTCTTTAGAAATTAAGCAATTTTGTTAAAAAAGATCTTCAGAGAATGTTATAGGCATAGGCATATTTGGAAAATTTTTTAGCATTGTTTTATTTTTAATTAAAATAGATCTTAATCAATTTAATGCTATTATATATATTATTATCATTAAAGCTGTAATTAGGTTTATTTGCAGCTTTAATCTGAGCCTAATACAGAATGTTATTACTAAAAGAAGTAATGTACTTTTTCCAAAGAAATTTAGAATAAGTAGAATGACAAAACATAAGTATAACAGCAAATAAGTAACATATCTGAGATTCTAAATTTATAAATAAGGCCTTATTTAAACAAGCATCCCATTTGTTGTTATTCTGCAGCATACTTAAAGTTTTGTATATATTTTTAAACATATAATACTAAATATTATTAATAGTTCTAAGATTTTTAAAAGAAGTACTACATTTAGCAACATTGAAGATAGTAGTATTCTCTAGCTCTGAGATGTACAAAGTAGATTTATTCAATAGTATGCTCTTTTGTTTTGGCTTCTATTTCTTGTATTTTCTATCATATATCTATTTTGTAAAAAAATCTTCATATTATTACAAAGTAGATTTTAGCATAGTATATTATTTAGTAATATTAGTAATTATATATATTCATTATTGTATTTTATATTATATTTATTATTAGTTTTTTTTTTAAATATTAAGATGAATACTTGTGATACAAAATTTTATTGATAGTACATTCAGCTAATAGTTGCATTACAACTATAAGAAGCAACTATAGAAAGAGTATACAACTAGTTACTTGTACAATTTTAGTCATTGTCTAATTTAAGTAGTTCACCTAAAGGTTCTATATTAGCTGCCATACCTGGAACCTGCTTGTAAGTTCCCTATTTAACTATTCTGTTCTTGTATCTATCTACCTACCTACATCTACCAAGATGCCTCAGTCGATACCAGTGCAAATATATTATGATTACTAAGTCTTTAAAGCAGTTTACTTATATGGAAAGCCTTTGATCTTGTACTAAACCTTTCAGAATCTTCTGTATCCCATTCTTACAGCTGACCTGGTATCACTATGACTGAGACCAACACTAATGATCAGAGTGTACTATTTAATTGCTATGCTCTTGTAGAGTTCACTCCAACCATAGTACTGACTTTACAACATATCTCTACTACTTTGGTATTCAATTCAAGTTCTACTAAGCTCTCAAACCAGATAGTCTGAAAAGGCAGATCATAATCATACATCTCTGATTTATATATTTGTCAGCATGTAATTTTTTTCTCCAGAACCTGGAAATTCTGGCAGCCTGGTTGATTCCATTCAACCCTTTTTTAAAGCCCAGCTCTTTGTCTAGTTTCACAAGTTCTAGCTTTGTTTCATAGGTCTATTCTTTACAGTAGCATTATCAAAAGTTTGGGTTACCTCTCTACTCAAGTCTTCCAAGTGAGCTTCTGTCTTCCTACCTGGTTCCTATGATTTACATGGTCTAAGAACTTATCTTGGGTTTATATTGCCCAGTATCAGTTTGTGTTTTTTCATACAATGTTGCATAAATGCCTAGACCTTTTAGTCATACTGATATGACTCAGGTTACAGGTGTCTTATCCTAACCAATCATAGAAGACAATTAACTGTAACACAAAAAAAATTGCAAATTTTTGCCATTACTAGAATTTGAACTCTAGATCTGCCATTTGAAGGTTGACAACCTATCCACTTTACTAGGTCACCATACTTCTATTTATTATTAGTTTTTTTTTTTTTTTTGGTATTAAGGTGACCTCTTTGGTCTTTTAACTTTTATTAATCACTTGTTAGTATTGTGGTTCAATGAACCACTACAGGAGAGTGTACAATTGGCTACATGTGTAACTTTTCTATATTACCTATT